TCTCCACTCAGTACGTCTCACCGGTTTAACTGAACTCAGTTAAAATCCTCCCTTAAATTAAGTGAATTTCCATTTGGAGGTGAGATAGCCCCGACTCAATGTCATCAGTAGAAAACGAAAATGCATCTTTTTCCATATGCTTTTGTAATTTGCATATCCTTCAAAAGAAGGCAACTGGCTTGTCTCTGAGAGTGGAACAGTCCTAGCACCATGGTCAATACTATATTTTACAGATTGTGGCCTCAGCCACTTTAAGTAAGACAAGGCAGCTGCTAAACTCAGAATAATAAACTCAGTTTGCAAGTAATTCTTGACAACAACAAAAAAAAAGGGGGGGGGGGTTTAAAAAAAACTGAAAATAATAGTACCTACATGCACACATGTAATACTTGGCAAGACAGAGATTCACTTCTGAATGAAGGATATTTTAGCGCTTTCCAAGCCAGTCCAAAATGAGGACAACGCTATTCTTTTAAATCCTTTTCCCTGTTTTTATTGCACATGACATATTACATTGTACTGTGCAGATGAGAAATTCCCTGCTTATTTAATTGTGATCCTTCAACGAATTTGAAAGGGAGTGCTTTATTTCCATTTCTTTAATTTACTAGTTCTTTAGCTGATGATTTTATTAACCCTTGTATTTGAGAACTGATGCTTAACAAAAAAGAAGAAGAAAAAAAGGCCCTTGGCAGTATTGTGAAGGCCTGGAACTGAATAATGCACTTTAATAATGAGGGATAGAGCTATGGCTTTTGCTGATGGCTGTGACCGGCTCTGTGACCTGATTATGTCGCAGAGTGTCAGCAGCTGAGACACTACAAAAGGGAGCGCATCCCATCAAATCTATCTCCATTGTAATCACCCTCACTGCTGAGAGGCTTGTTAGGAGCAGAGGATCCATCAGGCCTCATTAGCACCATTTACCATCAAGGAGCTCAAAGAGCAAACGTGTACCCTCTCATCAGAATAATGAGAACCAAAGTACTCCTATTATCTAATTGGATCAACAGTGCCACTCTCTCCATTTAGTTTTCTGAGCTACCTACGGGTTACAACTCCCCAAAATTAGTTATTTCGTTAATTGCCAGGGTGGAGGTGTGCCCAAGGTTTTCCATATACAGAAGGTTTTCACATCTGAAGAGCAAGGCACAAGCACAATGAAGAGTGAGTTCCTTGGAGGACACTCTTAGATTATACTGATACTATTCCTTTTAAGCTCACTGGTCAACTAAAATAGGTACTGTGCAGTACCACTGCACATATACTGTTTTCATATCAACCTATGAGGAAATAAAACTACTGTTCTCTTTTAATCATCAGACAGCTCATAATGCCAACTCTTATCATGACACCTTCTTACTCTTTATGATAAAATTAGTTGATTAGTTAATTGCTGAACTGGGATTTTTTTTTTCCTCTTTCTTAATAAGCTCACATTTTTCTAGTAAAGAAACTGAACTTGCTGAAGGGCTCCGCATCCACAGTTAGAATGTATTTGATCCTGCTAAAGAAGTCAAGAGACTTAAATGAATGTAACTGATGACAATTTAGCTCTAGGTTTTAGTCAACTAGAAAGTTGGATTGCAGGTAGCATTTATAGAAACAGAAGCATCAGCCACGTTTTCCATATGTTTAGTGATTCATTTCCTGACGAAGATTAAGAACAACAGCTAATATGCACGTATCGTATACTTAATATACATAAGGACAGCCAAATCTCTTTATATTTTCTCTTATTCATAACAACAGAGGAAAAAGAGAAACTTCTGATTATTACATCTCTGACGAATCCAAGTGCGGAAATGATACTAAGATTCTGATATGAGGGCAGACTGAGGCTGAGCAGGAGCACAGCTTCACTCCGAAGTAAGTGTGTATCTACTAAAATGGAATCTAGCAATTCTCTTACCCCCGCCTTTAAATTTAAGGTATAAAAGTCCAGTCCTGCAAATGCTTCCTGGAAAGTGCTGAGGGCAAACAGAATGTGAGCAGTGTTACATGGGCCAATAGCTCTTCATAATACGCCTGTGAAAATGAAAATTTGATTTAGAGTCCTCTACCAGTACTATATCAAATTAATCAGGTGATCTAGACATATTATTCCAATGGATTACATCTCTTTGCTACGGTGGTCTTGGGGAGCTCTGGTATTACCGTTCTTATTGCCGTTTAAAGGAAAACAAAAATTATACCAATTTTGTGAATGCAATAATTAATTTAACAACAAATACCTTATATAAATGGTTGTTAACACATATAATTTTATTATTGTGATTGTAAGAAACCCTAGACTTTTGGGAGTTAAGGCCATGCCATGTGTCATTTAAAAGATCATTTCCCTAAATTTGCTGTAGGGTCTTGGATATGACCTACAGCTTCATGTCTCTAGGGATTACTGATCACCATATATTTAGCCAGACAGATGGACACTTACAAGCCCTGACTTTTTACAGACGAGCAGCGTATAATTACAAAGATTGCACATACAATCTGGTAAGTCAACCAACCTTAAATTTGCAGGAGGGAGTTTTGAGTGTCAAACTTGTGATTCTTTGAAGGGGGCAATTTTCAAAGAGCAGATTCTTAGCATATTATGGAAATTCAGCTCCTTAACAAGTCCAAGGTGATCACTCAGAGGCATCCAGAATTACTATTCACTTTCACTCTCAGTTTTGAGGATACATACCTTGCATTTCTTGTTTAGTTGCTATAAATTCATTAATTTGCAAGGAACGTAGTTTCATTTCGGGTATGTAGTTTAATTTCACTAAATAATCCTGTTCTGAAGGCAGCTGTGTACTCTAAGCAACGCATGCTGAATACTAGGAAGATGGATGTTACATTACACACTTACTATCAATATTTATCTATATTGTGGTGAGTTCTGCAGTACTGATTATATACCAAGGAACGTTTGTAAAAACAATTACTAAAAAGATAGCCCTTATTTGAAAGGGCTAAGCAGACAGATAGATTCTGTAATTTTGTCCAACAATAGGGGAAGATTCTTTCTTTCTCCTCTCTTTCATTGCAACCTGCGGAATTACCGGATTTTATGTTACGTGTGGAATAAACAAGGGGTACTTCAGCCTGACTGAATCTATAGTTTCAGGCAGTGGGATATTCACAGTAGCAGATCTTTAAAGATACAATGTGTGTCCACACTTTGCTTATCTTTTCTGTGGAGAACTCGTAAAGGGAGAACTCCTGGAAAACTAGCCTGGCTTTATTTCTTCGGCTCTTACAATGACCGTCTTAGACGCCAAGTGCCTCATGTGAGCGGTGATTGTGAACCACTTCTGGAGCACCGATAAAAACAAGCAGGCTTCTAGGTGGAGCTGATCTGACTATGAGTTATAGGTATTATAACCAACTTTTCTTCCAAACCAATACCCCATCCCTCCAGAAATCTTAATAGGCTTTTGAGAGCCTCCATTTAAAGCTGGCTGCATAAAATGATCCTTTGATGAAAAGGGATTGAAACAAGGGTTAAAGTAGACATTGAAAGGTTATTGTAGAGGGCACATTGTTCATACAATCCTCCTTTAATATGTGTGGTGTGCACCTGCGATAAGATGATTCATTAGATAAGGCCTCACTTTGACAAGCTCCATCGTTCAACCCTCGGGGTAGTGATGGAACAATTCTGCACCCACCCAGTAAATATAACAAGGTCAGCATTTTTTTTCTGGGACTTGCATGGGGATAGTGAAGCTTAGGATGCATCTTTGTTTATGTGTTATGTTAAAAAAAAAAGGAGCAGATTATCTAAAGTGATGCCTTTTATTTTTCAAATGGGCCAAAATAGAAAAAACAGCCTCCGTTCCAATTAAATGAACTGGTAATTATGTTTTTTCACCATACAGATTTAAGAGTAGAAACTAAACTTCAGATTGACATACAACCCAAGCTGTATCATTTCAGCAAATGCTTACTAGCACCTGACATCCACGTAAGCGCTTTGGATATTACTGTACACCTAATTTGTAGGTGTACAGTATGACTATGACTTCTAATAACATCGTATCAATTACTGAGTTAGTGCAGTTCCAGTCTTAAGTTATATTAACAGATCTGTTACAGTGACTTTACTTGAAACAAGCAGTTGTGTTAATTTTATTCCTGGTAAGCAGAGTTACCAGGAATAATGGAGGAACGGAGCGGCCACGGTTTTGAAAGGTACTCAGGTATGTTGCATCAATGGAGTTATTTACATAAATAAATTTAGATGTGCATCTTTCTGCATCTTATTAAGCCCAAGACTGAAATAGTTCATAACAAATAAGCAGCTCCCCAAACACAGAAAATGCACAATTTCTGTTTTACACTTATCATAAGCCTTGTTCAAATCTCTATTTGGAAAATTTTTAAAAAAGTACAAAAGTTTCTCTCAAATTTGCATTACAGCCTGTCAGATTCATTGCAAATTACTGAATTTAGTTAATCAGGAAATGAACAGGCCACCCAATTAAATCCATTAAGGATACCTCTTTACAATTTAAGCTTTGTTCCTTTACTTAGACTATCTAATATCTTTTTATAAATGCCATAGCTTGGGGGAAAAAAAAAGAAAACAAGGAAAAGTATAGCCTTAACAGTGCAATAGCACATTAATATAGTTCTCTGTCATTAGGCTTTATCCAAGGAAGAAGACAGCTGGTACTTTTGTCAAGAATCAGAGGGTTGCTAGATTAGCAGCACGAGAGTCAGTAGTGACCTACACACGTTTAAAATACTACATTATTACACTACTGCGATCTCTTCAAAAGGCTGGATTAAAAAAAGCCCCAAACCCTTTCTGGATCGAGAGCACTTTATAGCACCTCCTAACTTCTTTCCTGTTCTCAGACTTTCCATTTCTTACCTTGTTTGTGAAATCAATATTTATTTATCTCCAATACGTGCACTTTTAAATTGCTGTCAGACAAGCGGAACTCATTTTTGTCCCAAGATCAGCCTGCCATCAAAATTCACTGTTTTGCCCATCTTCTACTCACCTGTCCTTGTGCATTAGTGACGAGCTGACCTGTGACCCCCTGAAGGCTGGAGAGCGCATTGCCAAAGGCCTGCGAGCTGGCTATTGAGCCCATAGCTGCCGCTGCTGCAGCCGCTGCTGCTTGACTTGCTAGCGGATTATTAACCAGCTGAAAAAAAAGAAAGAAAAGATCATGGTAAAGCCACCAATAAACACAGAGTGCTAACTGGCAAAGAGAAAGGCGTTTGTGCTAACAAGGAGGAAAACTCTGGCTGCTTGAGCAGTTTTGAGAGGTTCTTATTTCTGAGGCTCTGGTCTCTTTGATGATGAATGGATTTAAAAAACCCAGAGGAAATTCCATACAAATACTGAAGAATAAAACTCTTCTTTTCCCTCTTATTCTTTGATTTAGAGGGGGAAGGGGAGTTATGCCTGTGTTATTTCTTTAGGTGTAACGGCCTAATGCCACAGGTGTAGCAGCTTAATCCTGCTGTTAACAGAATTCAATGAAAGATTAGCATGTGATTTGAACAGGACTGGGATATTTGCTTGGGGATATACTTCAGAACAGAGACTATTTAGCTAATGACCCCAGAAATGAGAGAAACCTGCAGCTCCTTTCAGTTTATATTGTCAAAGAATTGGTCTCAACATCTAGATAAATCACAGCTTGGAACTCAACCCTATGATTAACTTCAGTGGAAATCAACTGCAGATTCAAAATTTCCCTTTGCAAAATATAAGAGGTCCTAAGAAACTTGCTGTTTCTCATCTGTGAATGACTAATTTCTGGGCTCACATAAAATTTTCAGGAAGTGAGTCTTAACACACACCTTAGGGTACTTCATTTACAGCATTGAGCCCGTACATGGCTTTCCCCCTTGGAGACTATCTGAATCCCACAGAGGAGCATTCATATCAACACTTGGGTTTATAAAACATGTGAAACGGTTGTTCCCCTGTCAGAATCAAATGTCCTCTGGGAGATGCCTTGCTCACTGGATTATTGTGAAGTTTATATTTCCTCATCCTTTTCTGAAAGTGAAGAAACTTTGAACCTTGTGCACAGAGATGACAGTACAGGAAAAAAGTCAGTAACTGTTACTGGGACAGCTCCCCAGTAACAATCACAGAAACCCCCCCGAATTCAATAGAGTGACAACATAGTTTAGCATGGGTTGGCCCCCTAAGAATCACTGCATATAGCAGGGCTTGCAAAATGCATTGCAGTGTGGGCAGAAGTTTGACAGAAAAAAGAAGTCTGGGGCAGCAAAGACACTTTTCCTCATGTTTATGTAAAAATGCTGAGGCTAACTCAAAACAGCTTGACATTTGAGCTGAAATTAAAAGCAGTTTTAAGTCCTGAGATGATAAGTGAATTTTCAATGCTGTGGAAATGGAGAGTCACAGACACCAATAAGGAATACGCTCCACAGACAGGCTCCGCTTCAAAATACGTTATAAAAAATTAATCCGTGATTAGTAGATGTTTTAAGCATGTTACAGATATGAGTAGTGTGTATGTTATAGATGTTTAGAAGCCCATCAGTAGAAGATGTCAGATATGGTTATAATCTATGCTTATAAGAAACCTACTTGTTTGTTGCACATTACAAAATCCACAATTGATTGGTCATACATTAAAACATCTATTAATCATTTATTAGCCCTTCATGAAGTATTTATAAATGGAACCTTGATATAAAGCGTTGCCTAAAGGGGTGCCTTGGGCACATCCAATCCCTCTAGAAATTGTAAAGTAAATAACTAAATAAAGATTAGTAGCAGTGCTGGGCAAAAAAGATGACATTGTTGGAGGAAATATTTTGATTTAGAAAAAATTATTGCAGGACTCTCCAAAAACAGTCTGCAAGACTGCAAGAAAACCAAGAAGGTATAAAACAGAAAGGGAGAAGCTGCAATGACTGCCAGGTCCGTCTTTATTAGCAGTAAAAAGCGTAGAGATGTGCATGATAAACAAGGGGAAGATCTGTCCCTGAAAGTACAGCGTACACAGTTCACCCAACTGCACAAGGTGCCAGCACCAAATGTAGGTGCATCTGCTCCTCAGTGACTTGAGGGGTATTGCCTGAGCACAGCAGCATGTTAAATAACAAATTTGGATAAACTCATCAGTTTGCTGTTCAAAACAGTGGAATAAAAGTAACTTCCTTATTGTTCAGATATGAAGCTGGTAAACTCTGCCCTTCACGGGCAACACTGGGACTTCTGTAATCACCTCGTAATTGGAAACACAGACAGAAGAAAAAGGCTGCAGCAAAAGTATACGGTTTTCAGAAAAGGCCTTCAATTGTGTTGTAGGTCTTATTAGGCCCCCACAAATTATCACATCTGTTATTTAGCATCTAATTGCAGGTATAAATAATAATCTTTGCATAGCTATCTGACATCAGCTAACAAAATAAACTAGCTGCTATAATTTATGGCCTCAGCTGCGTGTAGGAACAGTTCTTGGGGGAAATAAGTAAGCTCGTGAATCTGAAAACGACCAAGGGTTAAAGCTTTCTAAAAATCAGACTATCATCTCCTAGAATCTCCTTTCTATTTTTCTTGCTCCAGTTTTCAAAAACTGTACATTTTCAAATACAACAATAAAATCTAATTAAAACAAACCCTGGAGACACTTAGGATTGCTTTTAGTTGCATCACAGAGATAAGCTACTTATTAAAAATGATGGCAGAGGATATGATATGCATAGGTACCCTGGGCAGTACCATGTTCCAGGAGAAATCACACTGAACAGGCCAACTCACAGAGTAAGATACTACCAAACACATATAAACACATCCCTGTCTGCCCATAAGTCTGACTAAAAAAAGAGTAGATACATTTTTCTCTGAACGCTGTGGGAAGCTGTTGTGAGCTGTTGACTGCAAACTACCCTCTACTAAATTAACCCCCTTTATATCAAGATGCAAATTGGGAATGGAGACACCCATTTTATTCCATTATATCTGGACCATAAGATAACTTCTGGTACTTTGTATCTTGCTGTTATTTTAAAAATAGTATCTCTGACTTGAGAGATTAACGACATTTCTTAGTGCAGGCTGGGCACCAGAGAACACTTACTAGAAATATTAGAGCTGTATTGTGAAAGAGTCCCACAAAGGACTCTTCCCCTTTTGTTTCTGTATTTAAATAATGATTTAATTTGGAAGGCTGAGACCTTTGGAGCTGTCAGTTCTACTGCCCAAATTTGTGCTCCCGGTCAAAACACCAACCGTAACAGCAGGTAATAGCGATCTTAGTTTAAAGTGACAGGCCTACCTCTCAATAATGCCTCAGTTAATGACATGATTATTTGGAGGAGCAAATTTTATAAAGAAGAATCTTGCAATAACTGAGTAGCTTCAGTAAATTTTTCTGACTTCCCAAAGCTGAACTTTACAGGAAAAGTACATGAAACTGGTTCTGCTCTAACTCAGTGAACAGCAGGAGGCATTCCACTGAAACAGGATGCACGCAGATAAGAAGATCCTGTAAAACAAGAGGGGATGAAAGAGGCACTGTGTTCAAGATCCTAAAACGGTGACATGTGAAGTGAGAGTTTTAGGCTTAGGAAATAGTCTACTGAAAGCATAATTCAAGGAAAAGGATGGTGGAATCAATGTCGCAAGCAGCTCTCTTGAGAGCCACATATACGTTTTTCTTGTGGTCGAGTATTTCCTTCCTCCTTTTTCCAAAGCCAACTTTGTATCTAAGTGAACTTATTGTAAGAAACTCATCAAGCATGCACATATATGTTGAATACAACATCAGATTTGATAGCATACATACTAATTTTACTCCTATCTACAAAGTGCTTATCTTACTGAACTTTGATTTCACTGGCCTGGCAATCATAGAACCAGTTTTATTCATTACAGTATCACAAATATTAAGAAAAAAAACAGATGGTTTGACCGATGAAATGAAATGCCAAGGTATTTCAGGATGCCAGACCACCATACGAAAAATTGGGCCTGCCTTAGTGTAACCTGAAAGGTAAGGTCATTTTCTGTAATGCCAGTATAAGAAGAAACTTAGAGATCTTGTGGGTTTTTCAAAGGATTTGTGGGAAAGGCTAGGGAGTGAAGCTATTTTATCTGAATGTAGCAATGGAGAAGGAAGTGACATACTGTGGAGTAACACTAACTTTTTTTTTCCAAAAAAATTTATGTATTTTTTAGGAAGATTTTTAAGATTCTCATATTTCTGAATATTTCCTAGAGATGAAATTAGTGCAGAAAAGCAATTTGCTTGAATAAGCACTGACAGATCCTTAGTCTCTTACCTTCTCAGACAATCCTTTCTGGAGGGAGCTTCACACAATATCCAGCTACTAAGGGAGCTTTCCTAAATAAATGCTTTTCATGGGAAAACAACAAAATTCTTTGATTTAAATAACCCTAAAAGTTTAGGCGTTGATGCTTATTTTCCTAATCACCTTCAATATGCATGTATACCTTGTACCAATGGATAGCTCCTTGGACCTACATGAAATCTCAAAATCCCTGAAGGAATTTTTAAAAGGGCACTGGAAAGACTTTTCCACTTAATCCTGGGAAAGCATCTAGATACCACAGGGATGAGCTCCAAATAAATGTTTACAATAATCAACAATAAGAGGACTACTTAGCATTTATATAGAATTTTACAGTCAATTTTTTCAACTACGGGTGCCTGAGCTCTGGCTGTTTAATTTACCTTTAGGGTCTTAAGCAAAAATAGCTAATTTTTTTCAAGAAACCTGTGAAAAGGCAGAGCCTAAGAAGGCCAAGAGACAGAATCAATGATAGGTAACACAAAACAAAAACAAATCAATTATATACAAAAAGATATTGTACTCAAACACTTTGGAAACCCTATGTATTTCAGATTTCAGCAAGGGATATTTCTTATATTTTGCCTCTCCCCCCAACATCCTTTTTAGGCTTATGTAATTGGATAATTACAACATTTAACTTTTCTAAATGAACAATAGGGTAGAATGTCTAATAAAATGGCTGTCACAGAGCCTAATCATGCATAACTGAAAATATGCCCCAACAGGCAAATGTTTGAAGCAAATCCCAAATTCTGGAAAAAAAAAAATCTGTCAACAATTGTTATTAGTACAGTGCCTGGATATGATCAACCTATAAGTATACAACCTAGCTACAGTA